TCAACCTAGCTCCCACAATTGTTGCTGTGCTAAAAATTGGAGGTGGGGTCTTATATATGCCACCTTGAATTGCACAAAATAAAGGTGAAATATAAACCTGACAAGCACAATTGAGTTCACTCCTGGTGAATTTATGAAAGCAGCCTAGCACAATCTGTTCATTCAACTTCTGGATCTAACCAGAACCGTGATTGGTGGTTTCCCATTTAAGAATTAACCAGGACCAATACTGCTTAGCTTTTCAGGGGTCAGAGCCAAGATTGGTTCATCCTATTGGTAGATGATAGATGATATAATTAATTAATTTCCACCCAATGGACTCTGGAGTTGTGGAGAACTAATTAATTTGTTGTGAAGAGCTAATGAACTAATTAGTTGCAGAGACCTAATTTGTGGAGAACTAATTAGAAAACAATGAAGGCAACCTTTTTTTCCCTCCTGAAGTTAATCAAATATTTCTTTATTAGATTGTTATTCTGTGGTAATATATGGCTTTTGGTGGTGGTGCCTGCAATCAAAAATCATCCATTGTAAAATAAAATATATAACTCACAATTACCATAAACAGTTCAATCCAAATTTAAAAGCAGAACAATATACAAATGAAATTATATTAAATTTCATTCATTTTTTTAAAAAGGTAAAGGTTTCCCCTCTCCAGTTGTGTCCTACTCTAGGGGGCGGTGCTCATCTCAATTTCTTAGCCAAGGGAGCCAGCTTTGTCTGAAGACAATTTCCATGGTTATGTGGACAGCATGACTATACACCAGTGATGGTGAACCTTTTAGAGACCGAGTGCCCAAACTGCAACCCAAAACTCACTTATGCATTGTCGGGTGCTGGGTGGGTGTGGCCCATTGGGTAGGTGTGGCCCATTGGGTGGGCCTGGCTGCGGTGGTAACGGCAGACTGGGTGGGACTAAAAAGTTCAATCAATCAATTCCAACTTTGCGAGATCTTTTTTTTTCCCCGCGAGAAGTTGAAATTGACTGATTGATTGAACCTTTTTTTTTTTTTTGCACACGGCGGCCGAGGCCTAAAGCGAAAAGGTTTTATAAAACCCAGCTGAAGGACTAGGACTGGGGTGACGGCCCGTGTGCCCACAGAGAGGGCTCTGAGTGCCACCTCTGGCACCCGTGCCATAGGTTTGCCACCACTGCTATACACCGAGGTGCATAGTGGTGCCGATTTACCTACTCGCATTTGCAGATTTTCGAACTGCTAGGCAGGCAGGAGCTCACCCCATCATGTGATGCTTGCATCTCAAACCCAGGCTGTCAGCTATCCAACTGACAAGCTCAACATCTTTAACTCCTGAGCCATCATGTCCTCACGTTTCTTTAAATGACTCTTAAGAAGTTGTTGGATCTCTTTATTTTCACTTTGCTTCCCCTTAAAAGACATGAACGTGCAGAGGATCATCCAGCTCACAGCCCCCCTCTTACCCATCAAGGCCTCTTTTCTTGTAACACTTCAAAGAGGACTATTGTTAGCAATGGTGGTGGAAATGACCTTGGGAGATAGAGGGATAACCTGTTCTCACTTAGCAGCTGTAAATACAGCTAATTCCTCAATCTTCAACCACAATTAAACCCAAAAAATTCCATTACTAAACAAGGCAGTTCTTAAGTGAGTTTTGCCCCATTTCATGACCTTTCTCATCACAGTTGTTAAATGAATCACAGCAGTTGTTAAGTTAGCAACACAGTTGTTAAGTAAATCTGTCTTCCCCGTTGGCCTTGCTAAATACATGCCAGTTGCCAAGCATCTGAATTTTGATCACATGACCATGGGGATGCTGCAACAGTCATAAGTGTGGAAAAAAGGTCATGTCACTTTTTTCAGTGCCATTATAATTTCAAACGGTCACTAAACAAATGGTTATAAGTTGAGGACTTCCTGTTCCCTAAAAGGAACATACTGAAGTTATTGTATAGGCCAGGGGTAGGCAACCTTGGCTCTTTTATGACTCGTGGACTTCAACTCATAAAAGAGCCAAGGTTGCCTACCCTGGTATAGGTCAGGGCTTTTCAACCTTTTCACCCATTGTACCATTTTTAGGATATGGCAACATCCGAGTACCACCAATTACCTAGCAAGGTGTCAAAAACTTGATGGCCAAAAAAAAAGGAAAAAAGTGATGAAGTATAGGTAGTCCTCAACTTACAACAGTTTGCTTAGTGACTGTTTGAAGTTACAATGGCACTGAATAAGGGGTCTCCAGGCCACAGCCGAGCAAGATACCTGCCTGCCCACCTGGCAACATTCTTCCTCCTATCCAAGGTTTTCATTGTTGTGAGCATTTCTTTTGAGGATTGGCAGCGGGGGTGGGGTGGGGTGTTTGGTTTTTATTCCCCCTGTCTCCTGGGTGGTTGCAGCAGGTTTTGGTCACTTCACATGACCCTGGAATACTGTGAAGGTCACAAATATGAATCAGTTGCCAAGCATCTGAAGGTAAATCACAAGACCCTGGAGATGCTGCAACATTCCAGCTGATCGGTGCGTCTTCTGGGCTCTGCAGAAGTGCCAGGATCAGTGCTGCTTTCCAGCTGATTGGTGCTTCTTCAGGGCTCAGCAGAAGCACCAGGATCAATGCCGAGCTCCAGGTGGAGCCTGGCGCTGATCCTGGCGCTTCCGCTGAGCCCTGACAGCCCTGCAGCTCCAGCCATCTCTTGCTCAGGCTTGTGTGGTGCTGCCACCAGTTCAGCTCATGCCCCTCCCCCACTACCACTTTTCTAGGATGGTTGCGTACCACTTGCCGGGTACCAATGTACCACAGGTGGTACCCGTACCTCTGGTTGAAAAGCCCTGGTATAGGCAAAACCATTCCTGCTGTTTTTGCTTGAGAAGGTCTTTGTTTTTAAGAGTTTACACATTCAATGGGGTAAATTCACTTAGCATCACTGCTGGGGTTCTCACAATCCAAAATCAGTTTATTATTTCCTAGCAAGGACAAGATAAGGGGAATGAAATGGAAATGCAAAACAAAACCCTTTTAACTCAGGATAGATGCTGATTAAGGGAAACGTGAGGCATGATGACAGTTGGTGAGAAATGCAACGGTGAAGTTGTGCTTATCAGCTGCTCTTGTGGCTGTTGATCCTTTCGTGATCAGGTTTTCTCAGGATGGGGAGATTCCTAGGAAGGCAGAACTGTGGGGACTCCTCGGATGAAGTTGCAATCAGTCTTGACTGGTCACCAAAAGTTTTACAATTTAAGCAGCTACAAGGTGGATTGTTAAAGTGAGTGAAATGAAGCCATGCCTTGGCTGAATTATAAAAGGGAATGTGTGGGAGGTGCTGGTTGCTGAAGGCAATCATTTGTGTTGAGGATTGAGTTTCTGTGGACTGTGTTTGTTTGCCTTGGACATTGACTTAGGTCTGTGAGAATAAAAGGGGTTGTTTTTTTCTTGCAGTTCCTGCCTGTTTCTTGGAAGAGGGTTTTCTCCTTATGAGCATAACAAGGACTCACATAGGCTGGGACAGAACAATCTCTGTTTATTGGCCAAGGGAGCCAGCATTGTCCAAAGACAATTTCCATGGACATGTGGCTAGTATGGCTATATGCTAAAGGCACACGGAATGCTGTTGCCTTCCCACCAAAGTGGTACCTATTAATCTACTTGCATTCGCATGGGCAGGAGCTGGGGCAAGTAATAGTAGCTCACCTCATCCTGAATCCCAACTCTCAGCTCTCCAGCTGAAAGCTCAGTGTCTTTAAATGCTGAGCCATCATATCACCTCCAGGTATAACCCTGGACAAACCTTGGCTTAATTTATTGAAGCTTGTTAAAATAATCCTAAAAGGCAGAGTTTGAGATTCAGGATGAAAGTAAAATTAATTAACAAGTGAATAGCCTTCCAGGTCTGAAGAGAAACATCAGGCAATGGGAAGAAAAAGTGTTGTGAAAACACATCTTAATATAATTAAGAAGTCTTCTCAAGCTATTCTTACATATAATGTGGTACAGTCAATACATATCTCTTTATTTATCTAAAGCATTCCTTAGCTACATTGTCCAAGTTCAGAACAGCTTCTGTGTGATAAAATCAGAATTCCAAAATAAGTACGATAGTGTGATAGCAACAGATTGTTATAGAATGCTATTAAATGAAAATGTCCTTCCCTTTTGTCACAAAAAAAATCATTTGACTATGACTGAATCATAGACCCACTCCTACAGCTCACCTGCTCAGTAAAATTTTTGCAAACCAGCCTTGTTGAAGAACTAAGTTGGCCTGAGTATATAATATAATGGAGTTTCCATATAGAAAAAATTATGCCCAATTTCCATATAGGAAGGAAGGAAGGAAGGAAGGAAGGAAGGAAGGAAGGAAGGAAGGAAGGAAGGAAGGAAGGAAGGAAGGAAGGAAAATTTCAAATTTGGATTAAATGCGAAGACTGCACTTTTTAAACAATTTTGATAATAAAGACAAGATCTTTCCCCTTGCCTTGACTTAACCTATTTCTATGTGAATATCAGCTCTCCAAATTCCTAGCTAATATGCCCCTCCCTGAAACTTCTGGAAAAAGTTATCTGGAGGGACACCTAAATTGGGGAACTCTATATTTGATTAAAGCATTTGAGAGTGTCTCCACTATGCAATGGTCTATATTAGCATTTCTCAACCTTGGCAGCTTTAAGTTATATGGACTTCAACTCTCAGAATTCCCAAGCCAGCATGCCGGTTGAGGAAATTGTGGGAGTTCAGGTCCACACATCTTAAAATTGCTAAGATTGAGAGACACTGGTCTTATATAATTACATAAACCTCAGTAGTTCCACAAATGTACAAGATCAATAGTAAGGATTCTTTATATCAGCAGATACTTTCAAAAAACATGACAGGAAGCTGGACAATGCAAGAATTAAGTTCCCAAGATGTTTCTGTAATGGGAGCCTGAGAGAACCAGGAGCTTTCTTGAGGTTGATGATAAGCCATGATGGACTTACCCACAACTGTGTTAAATTCTGAACTGAAGACAATATGAAAAGGCAAGCCTTGGTTTCGATGGCAATGCAGCCAAACAGCCCTTATCCATATTCCTACCCATGAATTTGAGGAAAAGGAATTGCTATACAAATTTATTAAAAAGATCAGTTCCTAACAAATCTGGTAGTTTTAAAGCTGGAAGATCAATCAAGATAGTGTTTCCCAGACTTGGTCATGTGTGGACTTTAAGTCCCAGAATTCCACAGCAAACATGGTTGAATGAAAGTTCTGGGAGTTGAAGGTCACTTATCTGGATATCACTAAGGTCTTGAAATAATGACACTCTCATCATGTGAGAAGCCACTTATCTGGATATCACCAAGGTCATGTGAGAAGCCCTGGTTCTTTGCTGAGAGGAAATATTACCTTTGATCAGTAATGTTATAGCTTTTTTAAAGAAATAAAGATGAACTCTGCATCATTAGCTATTAGTCTGTCTGAAAATTAACGGAGGTTTGGTAGAGCTGTCAGAGATTTCCTTGTTGACCCTCTTCATACATGCTGGCACTTGCACCTTTCAAAAGGCAGGATAGAAAACAATCACACTAACTTGGGAAACTTGGAAGCTGCAATCCCACCACCCCTGGGGGGACCAAGACTGTAGAAAGTCCATCTTAGATCCCCACTTGTTTCTTGTTCTCCTTGATGATTAATTTTCCAGGCTTGTATTTGGTAAATTGTATTTACCTACTACCAATCAAGGTTGAGAAGCAGAGATAGCAGCTTTAGTGAGCGATGGAAAGCGTAGCATTTCCAAACACATAAAACAAGGGAAGGATCACCTCTCCAGCGAAGGGGTGTGCAGAAAACGCAAAGAGAGGAGCTCCTGTATCAGCATCAAAAAAAGTCACCCATCCCCCTTCGTAGTTCAGAATTATTCTGATCTTCTTGGGCATCCTACGCAAGGTCAAGGGAGTATAAAAGGGAGGGTTGTATGCTGTATAGTTGCCATCCCACTTCCCCACAGCCCAGAATCCTTCTTCTGGGCTAAATTCAATATCTCCTTTTTTCCTTACAGACTTTCGGGCAACTCCGACACCCCAGGTGTCTTCCGTCCCCACAATGACTTCCCAAAAATGTCTGCCGGTAGTGAATCCTGAACAGGCCAACACAAAAGGCCATTCGTCAAATCTTTCTGGGATTTTGGGTAGAGCTTGATACCATTCGCCCATTCTCAGACTTTTACAGTCGTCCGACAGAATGAGACGAGGATGCGCTGTATCTGGATCCAGAAATACATGTGCTGTTGAGGGGGGAAGGATGAGAAAAGAAAAGATAAGCAGCATTACTTGTTAAAATGGCAGTATGATATTGATGCAAATCAAAATGTTGGTTGTCCCCTTATAAAGTTCTACATGGCTCAAGAGCTGGATATCTCTATATGCAGTATCTGGATAGATAGAACCACCGTGGTGCAGTGGTTAGATTGCAGTATTGCAGGCTAACTCTGCCCACTGCCAGGAGTTCGATCCTGACCGGCTCCAGCTTGACTCAGCCTTCTGAGGACAGTAAAATGAGGGCTCAGATTGTTGTGGGGCAATATGCTGATTCTGTAAACAGTTTAGAGAGGGCTGAAAAGCACTATGGAGCAATATACAAGTCTAATTGCTATTGCTATAATTGTAATGGGCCACTCTATTCAGTGCAGGAATTCCTGTTAAGAGGACTGTCCATCCATCAGAGCTCATCCTTTCCTCTGTCATTGATTCCTCTATCAAACTCATCCCAACAGAAAGAGCAGTTTAATAGAGGAACTGAGTCTGAACCTGCCTTCCTGTAACTTAAATCTATTATTCTGAGACCTACACTTGGGATCCTAGGGAACAGACCTTCACGTTCTATATATCACCCTTCAAGCACCCTTTCCCAACTTCCTGTCCTTTACTTACTTTGAGAAGTATTCACAAGCAAGAGATGTGCCCCAAAGCACTTTCCTACTCAAGCTTTCTACAAAGTATCGAAGTGGATCTCCTACTAGAGCAGGAGTGGGCCACTATAGCCCTATTATGACCTCTGAACTTCAACTCCCAGAATTCCTGATCCAGTCATGCTGGCTAAGGAATTTTGGGAATTGAAGTCCACAGATCATAAAGGGGCTATATTTGCCCACCCCTGTACTGGAGGATCCTACTGGAGGCAAAATACAGTCATCAGAGTTAAAAACATTCATAGAAGTCTATTGCATGTGTTGGTTTATTCTTCTTGCAATGCTATGAAGTTCTGGGATGATGCCCGTTATCCGGTCATTCCATATATACTGCACAAAGCTTCTATCATCCCCAGCCCTTCTGCCTTTTGTGCATTTCAACTATTAATTCTAAGCTACTGGTGGTTTGGGAATCTCTAGAAATGAAACTTCAAGGAAATGTAACAAATCAACTTTCCAACATTCCTTCTCTTATGCCATCTTCCTGACAATAGAATTTACCTTTCTGCAGCTGAATTCCAGCCATCAAAGACTCTGAGGAAAAAAAAAGAGAGAGAGAGAACTTGTAACACTATCACAGGGGTATCAAACTCAATTTCCCTGAGGGCCCCATCAGCATTGCGGTTGCCCTTGAGGGGCTGGTGGGTGTGGCCAGAGTGGGTGCAGCCTATTGGGTGGGCATGAATGGAATGGGTGTGGCCTACTGGGTGGGCATGGTCAGTTCTACATCATTCGCGTCAAGGGTGCCTATGGGGGCCTGGGCAGGAGTGGGACAGATCTGAGGGTCTCTGGCAGAAGGGGGTGGGACCAGAGCAAGTGCCAAGGCATGGTCCACCAGGGCAAGTGCCAAGATGGCCAGCACAAAATTGTACATTGGCTCCCAGCCAGCCTGGGCCAGGACCAAGGCAGAGGGGGCCATTCCCTCACTGTTTCCAGGATGGCTTCGTGGACCACATGAAACCACTTCGCGGGCCGCATCTGGCCCCTGGGCCTTGTGTTTGACATGTCTGCACTATCATAAACCCAGGAAGAACAAAAGCAGCTTATACAACAACATTGCATGCTAGGGAAATGTTAAGTAGAAACCAACAAGAATTTGGCAGGAAGGTAGTACACTTTCCTGTTATGAATCTAGTTATCAGATTCTAATAATCTGTAATAGCCAATATAAATTAATAACTTGTTTTAGAAGAAGGAAAGGAAAAAAGTAAGGAAGGGAAGGGAAGGGAAGGGAAGGAAAAAAGTAAGGAATGGAAGGGGAAGGGGAGGGGGAAAGGAAAGGAAAGGAAAGGAAAGGGGTAGCCTACCAACATTTGTTTTCCACAACGATATCTGGTAGGGGGGTGTCAATATAGCAGTAGTGATCTTGTGAGCAAAGTTATGTTCTTTTTTTTACATGTGCTGCCCTCTTGCCCCCCCCCCCCGTTTTGGACCCAATCATGTGAAACACCACAGAAACATCAATTCTACATTACCGTTGAATATCTTCCCAGCATTTTCCAGAAAAGGATTTATATCACAGAAATCCCAAGACCTCCATTTCAGTTCAAGAGGAAAAGCAACTGGGTTTTCAAGTGCTTTGTCATATCTAGGGGACAGAAACAAAATAGACATATGGAAGAGTTCCAATCTGCAGCTCGAAGGCCTCACTGGCAATGGGAATGGTTTGGAAAATATCTGGCCCAAAGGAAAGGGGTGTTTAAGGGTTTAGAGTAATGTTATTTTGCAGAAAGCAGCGCCATTGATATTATAGGCCAATATGGCGAACCTTTTGGAGACCGAGTGCCCAAACTCTAACTCAAAACTCACTTATTTATCGCAAAGTGCCAGGGCTGCATCAGTATTGTGGTGCACTCGGGGGGGGGGGGTATGGGGGCATGGCCCACTGGGTGGGCGTGCTTGCAGTGGTCATGGCAGACTGGATGAGTGTGGCTGGGGCCAGGGCGGCGGGGACCAGTCCCTCGTCATCTCTGGGGCATCCCCGGGGGGCCTACGCCACTTGCTCACTCACTTCCTGCCCTGTCATTTCCAAACGCCACATGCTCGTTACTCTGGCGAACTCTGCTGGGGCAACGGTCCGCGTGCCCACAGAGAGGGCTCTGAGTGCCACCTCTGGCACCCGTGCCATAGGTTCGCCACCACTGGTATAGGCAAAGATACTAAACATGCAAAAAAAATGATAGTATCAACAATTTACAAGAAAATGAGTTGAAATGGCTTAGAAGAGGGTTGAGGTCCTTCAGATAGGCAGCTCTGATGGCAAAAGGGCCGTCGTATGTCTCTCCTTACTATGTTAATGACATGATAAGATACATAGGGAAGGAAGTACAAGCACTGTTTTTCAGATCAAGATAGTTTGAATGGCTTAGTGGAGGTCACAGACCAAAAGGTAAGCAGAGCCAAATAAAAACCATGTAATATTTAATTACAAATAAGTTCTCCCCAACCTAGAACCAGTTTGGTATAGGGCAGTGGTGGCGAACCTATGGCACGGGTGCCAGAGGCGGCACTCAGAGCCCTCTCTGTGGGCACGCACACCATCGACCCAGTCCTAGGCCTTCAGCTGGGTTTTATAAAACCTTTTCACTTTAGGCCTCCGTCGCCATGTGCAAAAAAAAAAAAGGTTCAATCAGTCAATTTCAACTTCTTGCGGGGAAAAAAAAAGATTTTGCAAAGCTGGAATTGATTGATTGAACTTTTTAGTCCCACCCAGTCTTCCGTTACCACCACAACCACGCCCACCCAATGGGCCACATCCACCCAATGGGCCACACCCACCCGGCACTCGACGATGCATAAGTGGGTTTTGGGTTGCAGTTCAGGCACTCGATCTCTAAAAGGTTCACCATCACTGGTATAGTGGATAAAATACCAAGCAAGAAACTGGGAGATGGTGAGTTCTAGGCCCCCCCTTAGGTACAAAGCCAGCTGGGGGGACCTGACCAGTTCCTCACTCCCACTTCTAAAATCTTGCCAAGAAAATTGCTTTGTCCAGGCACTTGCCAGGCCTCAAGAGTGACTTGAAAGGGACCAAAGGAAAAACAAAACAAAGGGGGGGAAAAGATCAGAGAGTTTAGCACTATATCAAAACTTGATCTAATGTTTATTTATTTTATTTATTTATTTATGAGACTTATATACCGCTTTAAGTGCAAGCACTCTCTAAGCGGTGTGCACCAGTAAGCAATGTATATATATATATATATATTACTTTGCCCCCAACAATCTGGGTCCTCATTTTACCTACCCCGGAAGGATGGAAGGCTGAGTCAACCTTGAGTCGGTGAGATTTGAACCGCTGACCTGCTGAACACAGTCAGCTAAAGTGGCCTGCAGCACTGCACCCTAATTGCTGCGCCACCTCGGCTCTTTCTGTTCTGCCCAGGTGGGTATAAAGAGGCCCTGATTATCAATATAGTTTTGGGCATGTGTTTAATGCTATCCTAGAGCAGCATCTGCAGACAAAAACCAAAGTTTTTCTCCAATATTAAGTAAATAGAAGGCTGCAACCTAAGATAGGGATGGGAAGAATATTTGCTTCAAAAAAAGTGTTTTTAAGTGAAGAGAAAAAGAACACTCTTATTAGGAGGAAGGTAAGAAATGGACGGTCAGCTGCAGCAGAGCTGTCATTTCAGGTTATGGTTCTCTCCTTTTATTTATCTTTTTCACACAACACGTTTTTAAAAATTGCTCTTTTTTTCATTGAAAAATAAAGGGAGAGTGGAATTCCACACATCCCACACAAAAGGAGCCTGGAAAGCCATGTTTTCCATGTCCTTCAACTCCCACTGTTTTGTTTTATTGACCATGACTGCTATTGGTTGACTGGATTTGAAGTCCAGCATAATCAGGAGGGTGCCCTATTTTCTGCTACATGGTCTTAGAAAGGATCGGAGGGAATGAGCAGGATCCACTTACCTCTGCATGTTGCCTTTAAAATCCTACGAAGAAAAGAAACAGAGATCTCACGCTTTGCAATTGATTAAAGTAAGAAGGCTGCTTAAGCCCTCATAGATCTCCAAACTCCACTTTAAGACTTGTGGACAACAACTCCCAGAAAGTCCAGCTGCCTCCTGAAAAAGCATTTTTGGGAACAACCAGGACCTGGATGACTGGGAACCTCCATAGACATTTAGGGAAGTGAAGGTGTCCCATTAAGGTTCTGAGCTGGCTCTCTACTTTTAAAATCATCTTACCATTAAGAACTCCACAGCTGGCTGCTCACACACCTCCTGCATCTCCCTAATGATACTTTTAAGTATGGTGCGTTCCTTTGAAAGCCCCTCCAGGTATTCTGTCTTGTTTTTTTGAAAATCTTTCTCCACCATTTTCATTCGGTTCTGCAGTTGTTTTTCCTGTTTATGCAGAAAATCATGTAGTTGTTTGAACACATTGTCTAACTTCTCCCGCTCTTCTTCCATTTGTCCCTTTAATGAGGAAGAGAGAAGAAAAAAAGGCAAGGTCAGGTTCACCACCTCTTGGGACGAGATTGATAATTAGCTGGTTTTCCAAAATTCAGAATTAGCAAGACTTACAAGCAACTCGGCAATTTCCTTTTCTGCATCGGAAGGATGAGCCTCCATTAAATCCTTCTTTTCCTCCAGAAGGATAATCCTGCTCCGTAGCTGGTCCTCAAAGAGAAAAAGTGGGTCATATTTCAAACATCATCATCATAAAGTTGGAAGGGACCTTGGAGGTCATCAATCCAACCCCCTGCTCAGGCAGGTAACCCTATACCATTTCGGACAAATGGCTGTCCAGTTTCTTCTTAAAAACTTCCAGTGTTCCCCAATTTTACAAGTTTATTTACTTATCCATCAGAATCAGGATCTTTCTTTGCACCAAAAAGTAGAACTGTTCAAAACACTAGCTGCCTGTATCTCTTATGAATAAGGCAAATATATGTGTCCCAGAATAATAACAATAGCATTTAGACTTATATACTGCTTCACAGTGCTTCATAGCCCTCTCTAAGCAGTTTTACAGAGTCAGCATATTGCCCCCAACAATCTGTGCCTCTAATCTTGGAACAATGGAAGGCTGAGTCGACCTTGAATTGGTCAGGATCAAACTCCTGGCAGTCGGCAGAGTTAGCCTGCAATACTGCATTCTAACCATTGCACCACCACAGCTCTATTTATGTTGCATTATCTTATACATAGAGAGAGAATGGAGAGAGAGAAATTCCCTGAGGATGGGCTCCAGCACAAGGATGAAAACTCGGAAGAATAAACCTCTGGTCCCAGTGACCGACTCAGATTAGATCCTGCAAAAAGTAGACTTTTGCAATCTGTCTACCTTAGTATTTTCAGTTATTCAGCAACACCTCAAGCTCACATACTGCTGTTCTTTCCGAGTCTATCAAAAACTAATGTTCCATAGAACCAAAAATGTAAGATTGGAAGAGATCCTGGGGAACATCTAGTCCAGTATTTATCAACCTTGACAACTTGAAGATGCGTGGATTTCAAATCCCAGAATTCCCCAGCCAAAGCGCTGACCAGAACAGGAACCCACTACAGGTATTCCTCAATTTACGGCCATAATGGAGCCCAAAATTCTTGTTGCTAAGTGAGACATTTGTTAAGTGAGTTTTGCCACATTATAGCACCTTTCTTGCCACAGTTGTTAAATGAATCACTGTATCTGCTAAGGTAGTAACCCAGTTCTTAAGTGAATCTGGCTTCCTCGTTGACTTTGTTTGTCAGAAGGTCGCAAAAGGTGATCACTTGACCCCAGGACACTGAAACTATCATAAATATGAATTAGTTACCAAGCTTCTGAATTCTGATCACATGACCATGGGGATGCTGCAATGGTAGTAAGTGTGAAAAACAGTCATATGTCTCTTTTTTCAGTGCCGCTGTAACATCAAATGGTCACTAAATGAACTGTTGTAAGTCAAGGACTACCTGTACTATAATATCCCTGCAGACAGTCATCCAACCTCAGTTTAAACACTCCCAGGGGTAGACAGTTCATCATCTCCAGAGACATCTTCCATTGTTGAACAGCCCTTAATGTTAGGAAATTCTACGTGATGTCCAATTGAAATCTGCTTCCTTGAAATCAAAATCCTTGTTTCTTGTCTGGTCTTTTAGAGCAGCACTGAACAATTCTATCCTATCCACCCCATGACAGACTCTCGGATATTTGAAGACCTTCCGACAGTCTTCTCTCCTGGCTACTTGCACTCTTCCAACCATTTTTTCCTAGTTCCACACTGATTCCCTGTCTCTGTACAAATTTCTGAATACTTCCCCGGTGTCACTTTGCCCCGTGACAAAAATAACACATCTAATTCCATTCTAAATAAAGCAAACTGTCTTGAAAGATGGTGGACTTTCCTTAGTGAAGTAAAGCTATAGTTATTGTTCAGTGACAGGTTTTCTGCACTGATAAAAAAATCAAATTAGATGACTTGGGGTTTCTTCCAGATCTATTATTCTGCAATTCTGTTTTGTCAATCCTGGCAAAAACCACCCTGTTACTGTCTGCAACATGGAATACTGCATCCAGTTTTGGTCACCACAATGTAAAAAAGATGTTGAGACTCTAGAAAGAGTACAGAGAAGAGCAACAAAGATTATTAGGGGACTGGAGGCTAAAACATATAAGGAACGGTTGCTGAAATTGGGTATGTCTAGTTTAATGAAGAGAAGGACAAGGGAGGACATGATAGTAGTGTTCCAATATCTTGGGGGCTGCCACAAAGAAGAGGGAGTCCAGCTATTTCCCAAAGCGCCTGAAGGCAGGACAAGAAGCAACAGGTGGAAACTAACCAAAGAGAGAAGCAACATAGAACTAAGGAGAAACTTCCTGAAAGTGAGAACAATTAACCAGTGGAACAACCTGCCTACAGAAGCGGTGAATGTGCCAACACTGGAAGTTTTTAAGAAGAAACTGGACAGCCATTTGTCCGAAATGGTATAGGGTTTCCTGCCTGAGCAGGGGGTTGGACTAGATGACCTCCAAGGTCCCTTCCAACTTTATCATCATCATCATCATCATCATCATCATTATTATTATATTATTATTATTATTATTATTATTATTATTATCGATCATCGCACAGTCAGCCAGATGTTCAGACTGGATTTGGCATTTTGTCTACCTATCGAGTCCTTACCCAGGACCTGGGATAGGCAGATGTGGATGTTTGATGGTATTACCGATATCGTCGCAGGATGGAAGCAGTTCCTAATAAGGCTGCCTTTTGCAATTGACTAATAGCGAATTTGTCAATGCCAATGTGTTCAAGTGGTGCTCCAGTTGTTTTGGGATTGCACCCAAGGAGCCTATGACTATTGGTACTACCCTTGCTTGCTTTTGCCACAGTCTTTCTATTTCTATTTGTAGGTCTTTGTATTTTGTTATCTTCTCCAGTTCTTTCTCTTCTATTCTGCTGTCTCCAGGCACTGCCACGTCCACTATCCAGACTTTTTTGTCTTTCTTATCGACAATTGTTAAGTCTGGGGTGTTATGTTGCAGGTGCTTGTCTGTTTGAATTCTGAAGTCCCAGAGCAGTTTAATTTTATCATTTTCTATGACTTTCTCTATTTTATGATCCCACCAGTTTTTGCTTACAGGCAAATGATATTTTTTGCAGATCTTCCAATGCACCATTGTTGCTACTTTGTCATGCCGCTGCTTGTAATCAGTTTGTGCAATCTTCTTGCAACAGCTTACCAAGTGGTCCACTGTTTCTTCAGCTTCTTTGCATAGGCGGCACTTACTGTCTGTTGCTGTCTTCTCAATTTTGACTTTGTATGCATTTGTCCTTAAGGCTTGGTCTTGTGCAGCCAGAATTAGTCCCTCGGTCTCTTTCTTCAATTTTCCTGCTCTTAGCCATTGCCAGGTTTTATTATTATCTGCTTTCCCAGCTATTTTTTTCATGTATTGGCCATGTAGTGCTTTGTCTTCCCATGCCTCTATTCTGTTCTTCATTTGGTCTTTCTTGTAGGCCAGTTTGGTCTCTCCAGTAGTTAGTAAGCCTTCCTGATATACTAATTTCAGTGCATCTTCATCATTGTTCTTCAGATATTCTTCCAAAGCCATTTTTTCTTCTTCAACCATCTGATGTACTTGTAGCATTCCACGCCCACCTATTTGCCTTGGTAGATAAAGTCTATCAATGTCACTGCGTGGATGAAGGGCATGATTCATTGTCATTATTTTTCTGGTCTGCCTATCCATTGCTTTTAGTTCTGCTTGAGTCCAGTCCACTATTCCAGCTGTGTACCTAATGACTGGGATTGCCCAGGTGTTGATTGCCTTTATGGTATTTCCTCCATTGAGTTTGGATTTTAAGATCTTCTTCACTCTCTTGATGTATTCACCTCTAATCTTTTTCTTGACTTCAGTGTGCTTGATGTTGTCAGCTTGAAGGATACCCAAGTATTTGTAGTACTCTTCCTCATCCAGACTCTTAATGTTATTTTCGTGGGGCATCTTGATTCCTTCAGTTTTCACTATTTTTCCTTGTTTGATAGTAAGTGTGGCACATTTGTCCAAGCCAAACTCCATTACAATATCTTGGCTATATATACGGACAGTGTTGAGCAGCGATTCTATTTCAGATGATGTTTTTCCATACAGCTTCAGATCATCCATATAAAGGAGGTGGGATAGTCTGGCAGATGTTTTTGATGTTTGATAGCCATGTCCTGAGTTATTCAGTATTGTTGACAGAGGAAACAGTGCAATAACAAATAGTAATGGTGATAATGAATCTCCTTGAAATATTCCTCTCTTGATATTAACCTCTCCCAGCTCTCACCATTGATCTGCAACTGTGTCTTCCATTGTGCCATCGATCTTTGCACAAATTTTCTGATGTTTCTACTGACTCCTGTTATTTCTAGGCACTTGATTATCCAATCATGTGGCAGAGAGTCAAATGCCTTTTTGTAGTCAATCCATGCCACATTCAGGTTGGTCTTCCTTCTCTTGCAGTTTTCCAAGATCATTTTGTCTATTAGGAGTTGATCTTTTGTTCCTCTGCTATTGGGGCGGTTTCCTTTCTGCTCAGGTGGAAAGAGATTGTTTTCAACTAGATGCTGTTGCACTGCATCAGCTACTACACCAGTTAGTAATTTGAAAGTTGTTGGTAAGCAGGTAATTGGCCTGTAGTTACCTGGTGTTGCCCCTTTTGCTGGATTTTTCATTATTAGGTAGGTTTTCCCAGTTGTTAGCCACTTTTCAATTTCTCCTCCTTGTAGTATATTGTTGAACTGTTTGGCAATGAGTGGGTGTATAACAGTTAGATGTTTCAACCAAAACCCATGCAGTTCATCTTCTATTATTATTATTATTATTATTATTATTATTATTATTATTATTATTATATGGAATTGCAATGGTTTACTGTTAAAATTATTTATCATACAGATAATCCTCAACTTACAACAGGTCATAGTGATTATTCAAAGTTACAACAACATTGTAAAAAATGACTTATGACTGTTTTTCACACTTACAATTGTTGCAGCCTCCCCACAGTTACATGATCAAAAGTCAGGCGCTTGGCAACTGACTCACATATACAATAGTTGCAGTGTGCCAGGGTCACACGGTCACCTTTTGCGACCTTCTGACAAGCAAAGTCAATGGGGAAGCCAGATTTACTTAACAACTGTGTTGTTAACAACTGCAGTGATTCACTTAACAACTGTGGCAAGAAAGGTTGTAAAATGGGACAAAACTCACTGAACAACTGTCTCGCTTAGCGACAGAAATTTTGGGCTCAATTGTGGTCATAGGTTGAGGGTTACCTGTAGTATGGTTTTTTTTTCCTGTCATATTTCTTTCACTTTTTTCACATTAAAAAGAAATTTAAAAAATAAATAAGAAAGGAACCATGCAGCTGGAATACAGCCAATCTTTTGACAGGCTGTAATATTAAAAAAAAAAGGATGAACAGGCAGTGTTGCCTCCAGACAGTTTCATGCAAAGAAACATACATGAAAGCTGAATCTCTGGAACGAGTGTTCAAACAAGATTTTCATCATTTCCAGAGGAAAAGATGCTGGTATGTAAACTGCATTTTAGAAGCAATATGCAACTGCCATTGAAAATCCAAAGATCCATTAACAGCGATTCCTTACCTTTAATGGTTGGGCAGCCTGTTTGGGAGAAATTACAGTGTGAGTTTTATGTTCCGATGACTTTTGACAAATAGCACATATCAGCTTCTCATCGTCTTGACAAAACAGATCCAGGGCCACCTTGTGTTTCGGACAGACAAATGATTTTTCTGGAAGTAATCTGATTTTTTCGTCCTCACTGGGCTGCTGCAGGATTCGCCGGAGTTTTCCTTCAGGGATCGGCTCTTCGCAAACAGGGCAGAAAAAAAGCCCTTCCTTTTTCCGTTCCCGATAATGATCAGTGATGCAAGGCCGGCAGAAATTGTGACCACATTCTACAGATAATGGATCTTTCACATATTTGCTACACTGGTCACAAAATCCATCTTTTCTCTCAGGTGCAGCAGACGAGGCTGAGGCCATGACAGAGGGAGAATTTCCTCTCTGAATAGCAGCAACGAGCTACGAAAGGGAGCAAGGAATATTCAGTACCTATTTTTAAAACTGCTTTAGGGTAACTTTTACTTCCATAATTAAACAGGTGATCTTTTCTACAGATGGTGAGCGATCTGGGTATGAAAGGTAAATTTCTCTCTTTTTAAACAAGATTTCAAAAAATGAAATGATATTTTTCTTCTTGTTTTGTCAAAAAAAAAACCCACCCATCCTACTGAATTTATGGGCATCTTTGCTCACGTGCATAAATAAGCATGGGAGTGCTGGAGTCAGCTAGTCAATATATTTACTAGGTGTACCAGCTAGTCACTTATTTTTTTAATTGTACGTATCCCAGAGTTGTTGGGAATTGGGAAGCTTATATACTGAATGTATGCAGGAATAAATAAATAAATGTTATGGGCTTCAGGAGAAAAGATTGAAGATGAAATATCTTTCTAGAGTATTCCTTTTATTCACTGACATGCAATGGATCCAAAACAAGAAGCCAATTGCTTAGAAACAGACCAAAAAAAACTACATCCTTACCTGTTACCTTGATGTGTAATATCATTACATTACAGATCATGAATCTTTGTGTTCAGAACAGTGTTTCTCAACCTTGGCAACTTTCAGATGTGTGGACTTCAACCCCCAGAATTCTATATTCTGAATTCTATATTCTGAATTCTGAATGCTGTTTGAGGAATTCTGGGAGTTGAGCGCCCCACATTTGAAAGTTACCAAGGTTAAGAAACACTGGTTTGGCAGCTCCTTATTCTCTAATGATATTAATGACTTGTTATTGCATCAATTGCCCTTTATTTTCATATTTGTAAATAACAGGAAGGAAGGAAGGAAGGAAGGAAGGAAGGAAGGAAGGAAGGAAGGAAGGAAGGAAGGAAGGAAGGAAGGGAGGGAGGGAGGGAGGGAGGGAGGGAGGGAGGGAGGGATGATACAAGTGTTTCAACCCTGTTCCATTGTCTATCTATACAATGTAACTAATTCAAACCAAAAGTTGTGTATGTCATCTCTTTAGCAAGGTTAAATATGGCTGCACTTAAGCTATATATCTTTAGCTATATACCTTAAAATACTGGCTCTAAATAGTTTTTTATAAAATATAAGCTAATCTAAGTTAACAGCCGCAGTAATTCACTTAACAATTGTGGCAAGAAAGGTCGTAAAATGGGGCAAAACTCACTTAACAACTGTCCTATTTAGCAATGGAAATGCTGGGTTCAATTCCGATAATAAGTCGAGGACTACCTGTGCGAGACTAGGCCAAGGCCACCATATCTAAAAAGTGAAGAAGGTACATAAGCAGGGTGGACAAAAGCCAGGAAAAGCGGACTTCTGGTTTTGCATCCGTGGCACATGGGCCCGGGAGAGCGGAGATCTGCTCCCCATGGCTAGTTTCTCCCTGCCAGGGGAACCCTAGATGGTCCAAAGTTGCCCCGAAGAGGTGACTGTGAAGGAGAGGCACCCCATTGATCCCAAAGCAACGGTGGTTGCTTCATTTGATCCAGGGAAAGCCCTCCGACCCAACAGGAGAAAGGCTAGTGTGAGATCAGCATCTAGCCCCATAGTGGCAAACCTATGGCATGCGCACCACAGGCAGCGTGCAGAGCCCTCTCTGTGGGCACGTGTGCCGTCGCCCCAATCCTAGGCCTTCAGTCCCCTCCATGAGCAACTTGCATCAAAATCTCCCCGGGCAAGTGGCTTTTTAAGCTGTTTTATAACCCAGGCAGGACTAAGGTGCGTTGGGTGTGCAAGGGGAACAGGCTCCATGTATGGGCCAAGGGCAAGATCTGCGAGGGGGCCAAGGAGATGACCAGCAGCAACCTGCTCTCCAACCACAACCAAAAACAGATGGGATGGAGTAGGTGTGTCCGGCGATCTGCATCATGCGCTTCCTCCCTCCCCTACTCCACCTGCTGCTGGAGGGCTGGCCCAGTATTTGCAGTGGGCTGCAGAATCCCAGAATGCATCGGTCAAGGGGCCAGCAGGCTGTGGCTGCTGACGGACACAGTTGGCCCCCATGCACTCGCTGTGTGTGTGGGCCAATGGTGTCAGGCAGCAGCTGCCCCGGCCCCTGCCTCATCTTGCCCTGCCCTTCGGCAATGGCACCCCTGCCCTTCTCCTGCCTCGCCTCGCCTCACCTGCAGGATGAGCCTCCTGCCCACCATCCCACCCACCAGAAAAACCCTGGATCTCCACCAAACCTGCCCGGCCCTCACAGGCATCCCTCCCCATGAACAACATCAAGGTGGCACGCCCACCCTGGCCATAACCACCCAGTCTGCCATGACCACTGCAGCCACACCCACCCAGTGAGCTACACCCATCCAGCATGTGACAATAAATAAGTGGGGTTTGGGTATTCGGGTCTCTAAAAGATTCGCATCACTGGCTTAGATGCTTCGTGATGTTCCAGAGAACTGTTAGCATTCAATGTCACTATATCAGAGTTTAGTTTCACTCCCCTTATTATTTATTGGTATGTAAGTATGTATTTATATATGTATGTATTTATTTATTTATCAATTTATTTTATATCCTGCCTTATTTTTACAAATATCTCAAGGCGACAAACATATCCAACACACTTTCCTTCTTCTATTTACCCAGCAACAACAACCCTGTGAAGTGGGTTGGACTGAAAGAGAATGACTTGCCCAAAGTCACCCAGCTGCTTTTCATGGCTAAGGCAGGACTTGAACTCAGTTTTCCTCTTCCTAGCCTGGCGCCTTAACCATTAGACCAGGGGTCGGCAACCTTAAACACTCAAAGAGCCACTTGGACCTGTTTCCCAGAGAAAACACTGGGAGCCACAAAACTTGCACACACACACACACACGGGAGAGGGGGAGCTTGATTGAAGAGTTTAATTAAAAAGAAATAGTGGCTGCTCTGCATGAATTCTCTCTCCCTCCCTCCCTCCCTCCCTCTGTCTCCCTCCCTCTCTCCCCCCTCCCTCTCTCCAATCTTCTGTTCACCTGGCAAGCTGGCTTCACGCTGTTCTTCAACAAGCTGACACACATTGTTTTTGGGGTGGCTGTCCTGCCCTTGGTCTGCCAGTCCTCTTCCCCCACTCAGTGTGTGTGTGTGAGAGAGAGAGGGGGGGGAGAGAGAGAGAGCGCATGTACCTCTCTCTTTGCAAATGGCAGAAGCGGACTGGAGCCACAGTAGAAGGCTAAAAGAGCCACATGCGGCTCCAGAGGCGCAGGTTCACAACCCCTGCACTAGACCAAACAGGCTCTGACTCTCATCTCAGTATCGAAGCCACTTTTGGGGTGCCTCAGATTGTTGACCCCTGGTGACTGCCTAGACAAAATCTCCCTGCACTTTTTTTGGCAAGGATTCAGGAGTGGTTTGCCATTGCCTGCTTCCTAGGGCTGAGCGAGAGTGACTGCTCCAAGGTCACCCAGCTGGCTTTGCGCCTAAGGCAGGATTAGAACTCACGGCTTCTAGCTTGATTTCTTAAGCACTACATCAGATTGGCTTCTTCTTTTACAGTTACTCAGTCAAAGGCAGAGCGGCTTAAAGGAAGAAAGAAAAAGAGTGCTATTTGGCATCTTATCCAGTCTGACAAGACAGACAGTCCTCAACTTACAACAGTTCATTTAGTGACCGTTCAAAGTTAGTATTGAAAAAAGTGACTTATGGCCATTTTTCAAACTTATAACCATTGCAGTATCCCCATGGTCACATGATCAAAATTGAGATGCTTGGCAATTGGTTCATATTTAAGAGGTTGCAGTGTCCCAGGGCCCTATGATCACCTTTTGAGAGCTTCTGACAAGCAAAGTCAGAAGCAGTACTAGGATTTGTCAGGAGAAAAAAAAACAGCCTATGAGGCTGTAAAGCTTATATTAGGTCTAATACTTGCTAAAGCCCTGCTAGGGTTTGTTGGATTAGGACAACTATGTGTTATTTAAAAGGAAACAAAAAAAAGAGGTGGAAGGAAAGAAAAGAAAGGGAAAGATTACAGAATATACCAAATTATGCACACCTGCATAATTATTTATTGCAACTAATAGTACACAAAAAAGTATGATACATAAATGGTATAGAGAGCTGTGGCAGACGTATAAAAAACACATGATTTACAAGTATAGCTGTAAGGTAACTTTAATACTTACACACCTGAACACATGATGCTAAAGCCTATAAAGCTCCTAGGACACCTCATTTTTTTTATCCAGACAAATAGAAATGATGATCAGGTTATTCCCTTATAGACTAATTGATTGAGTGACCCTTTCCTTTCATTTACAAGGCCACCTAACTGCAAGAAAATCAGGCTGGCATAGAACACTAAAGGAAGATGTACATTAGTAGCAAAAAGCTAAGGCAAGTCTGCTTTAAAGGTTTTCAGGGATTACTGCTTAGCAAATACGTTTTGCCTATTGATGTCCCCTCTTTTAGGGGAATGTCATACAGGCGCCATCACACAAATAGAAAGAGGGCAGAAGGGTCTCTCCAACCAAGGAAGCATCTGAGAATGTATGGAGCAGAGCTGCTGTCCTGGCATCAAAAAAGTTCACTTGTCCCCCTTCACAGTTGACAGAGATGCGGATCCTCGTGGGCTTCTCACTGAGGACCAGTTCAGAATATACTGATGGAGAAATGGCCATGTATTTTCCTCCCCATTCCCCAATCTGCCAGTGTCTGGTCTGCAAATCACCATTTGTTACGTTCACTGGCTTGTTGACAACCCCTACACCCCATCCTGCTGTATCTCCTACAATAACTTCCCAGAAATGTCGCCCTGTTGAGAACCTCTGACAGCCAAGGACATAAGGATTATATTCAAATCTCTTCCAGTGTGGGGCAGGGTATATTGCTTTAACTGGCTTAACTCCTTTGATGCTGTTTTGATCTTCGGAGATGTCAAGACATCCAGGATGGGGTATGTCTGGATCCAGAATTATATTCACTGTAAGGGGAAAGGGAAGGAAAAACAAGAACTTCAGCTGCAGGCCTGGTTTTTTGTCTTTCTGCCCCCAAAGACCAAGTAAAATCAAGAGGATTCTATGTTACTTGCAGTACTCACCCATACTTTCCCATTCGCCTAGATCAGTGGTGGCAAACCTATGGCACGGGTGCCAGAGGCGGCACTCGGAGCCCTCTCTGTGGGCACACGTGTCGTTGCCCCAGCCTTGTCTCCCCCCACAACCCCCTCCTCACCAGCAGCCCCCGGAGGAGAGTCACCCCTGAGCGTGGCCCACACGGAGCAGTGCAGCCAAGGACATGGCAGCCAGACAGTGTAGACAGTGTCTGCCCGAACGCCCCATCGCGCACAGTTGATGCTGCAGGGCGCAGGCTGAGGGCGTGGCCGCCATGGCAATGCTGGGCGATCTGCAGTGGGCCCTGGATGTGGTGAATGGCCCAGCGGGCAGTGGGGCGGGGTGGGGTGGGGCAGGGGGTGGGGCAGGGGCGGGGCCAGTTTTTGGGCACTTGGTCTCTAAAAGGCCTAGATATTTCATTCCACACAAAAAATGACTTCAATCATCTAGATTACATTGACTGGATCTTCATAGTCTTTAAGACAGGGATCCCCAACCCTTGGGCTGTGAACCAGGCCGTGGCATGCTAGTAACCGGTCCACACAAACAAGCAAAGCCCCATCCGTGGGATGCAGGCAGCACACAAAACCATTCAACCTCTGGTTCTCTCCACGGAACCAGTCCCTGGTGCCCAAAAGGTTGGGGACCTCTGCTTTAAGGTATCTAATCCTATATTTCTCTTTTTTTTACTTTTCTCTTAACGTTCTCTTATTTCTCTTAACATTACTGGCATCGGAGCTTAAAATAGCAAGTGACTGAGATTCTTATAGTCTCATATTTACCTTCCTGTAGTTGAAATCCAGTTTCCAGAGTATCTGGGGAAGAAAAGGGAGGGATTTAGCATCTCATCACTGGAAATGGAGCAACAGAAGGGCCTCCCTACAGCTACCCTGGTTTCCCTTCCTCTGACTCAAATCAGGAAATAAGGAATAAGGAAGTTACAATGGCACTAGAAAAAGTGCCTTATGACCAGTTCTCACACTTAATGACAGTTGCAGCATCCCCACTCATGTGATCAAAATTCGGGCACTTGGCAACCTGCATGTATTTATGGTGATTACAGCATCCTAGGGTCCTGGGATTGTCATCTGCCTCCTTCCTAGGGATTGTCTGGCAAGCAAAGTCAATGTGGGAAAACAGATTAGCTTAACAATCATATGATTCACTTAACTGCAGTGATTTTCTCAACAACCTTGGGAAAAGAAAAGGTGTCAAGTTTCAGCTTGGTGTCTCAGTGGCATCCTGCCATCAAAGACTAAGGGGGAGGGGGCACGGAGAGAACAAATGGACTATAAAGATATACAGTATGGGGATGTGATGGGAAATAGGGAGTGGGGATGACAGCTTGACAAAGATCAGGGAAGTACAGAACTAGTTTGTGCCAGCGCTCAAGGCCACGCCTGCTGAGATTGGAATGTGAACTATCCCAAACATCTCAGCGGTTCTCAAAACACCTGTGTGGCTCTGCATTGGCTGAAGACAAACTGGTCATAAGGGGAGGACTGGGATGAGGGGAAAACTTTGTCATTTTTTCACACGGAAAATTCATTTTTTTTTATTACCTCTCAATTTTTTCATGGCGCTTTTCAGAAGCACAGTGACATCATTGTAGTCCCAGATTGTCCACTTTGGCTCTAAAAGTAAATCCACTGGATTCTCAAATGTTTTCTTTGCCTGGTACCTGGCAGAGCAAAACAACGTTGACTAGAAGATGGGGCTAACATTCAAATTGATCTTGATGGGTTAAAAGTAATACCATGAAATTTAATAGAGATGAATAGAGTTACATGGAATCCTCTATTTATGATTATTTCTTAGCAACCAACACTGGAAGTTTTTAAGAAAAGAGTGGACAGCCATTTGCCTGAAATGGTATAGGGTCCTGCCTGAGCAGGGGGCTGGGCTAGAAGGCCCTAAAATACAATACATTGTCTTTAAATTAAATTACTGCAAAATACAAACAGAACTTTCCAAAATAGGAAAACTGCTGATCTCTGAGACTGTAAAGAGGAGGGTGGATTCACTTACTTCTCCAAGATGCTTCCAATGTCCTAAAAAAGAGAGAGAGAAACCACTGAGCCATTTCCTATGCAGAAAATGAAATTCATATATTCATAAAATAAATGAGAGAAACCTCTGTACAATCAGACACTAACAAAAATATACTTCCATTTTTATTTAAAAGAATCCCACTGCTCTTTTTTCCCCAGCAGTTCACCTATTTTAGAAAGGTACTGTTTATTTTTATTTTCTTGTTTTAGAAAAATTATACCCCGGTTGAATTCAACAGAATTAGAAAGATTATAGTATATATATAAAAATAATAAAACATCATAGAAAAAAGAAACAAAACACATTTGAAAAAGAAAATAATGCATCAATAAAATACAAAAATTCCCTGCGTTTATGCTTCTGGAATCAAGGCACTTTGGAAAATCCAAGTGGTTTTAACTTTGTAGAAGGCCATCAATTTTGGGGTTCTCCTTGCCCTGGAGATTAAGGGGAAGGGAGACCCTACAAAGAACACCCACCACCAAGTCCCTTCATTGGTAATAGGACCCCTCAGCGGGCATTCTTAAAACCATTAAGGGTGCTGACCAGCACTTTGAATTCTTCCTTTTCACATGGCCCGCTTTTTCTGAATTAAATATTAGCCATTGCAGGTAGCCCTCGACTTTCAACAGTTCATTTAGTAAGGTGACCAACTTTTTTACAATGAAAAGGACACAAATAAATTGAATAAAAAATATCGTAAATAAAAGAAACATTTTATTCATTGCAACAATAATACAGACAACTTGCATGTGCAAAGTTTGGCAGCCGGGTGTTTTGGCGCGCTCAGCAGCAATTCCTATTGGCTTTCGAAAGCTAATAGCGGGAAGTAGCACAGCTCATGCAAAAGTTGAAAAAAAAAACATCAAAAAAGGTGCCGGAACGCCATTCTGAGCGTTCTATGAGAAAAAAAAAACCCCTGCAAATTAGTCTTCAAATATCGAAAAGGAGGACATGAAGGAGGACACTTTTCAAGGGAGGACAGAACTTACAAAAGGAGGACTGTCCTCCCTAAAGGAGGACGGTTGGTCACCTTACATTTAGTGACCGTTCAAAGTTGCAATGGCACTGAAAAAACCCCTCAGCGGGCATTCTTAAAACCATTAAGGGTGCTGACCAACACTTTGAATTCTTCCTTTTCACATGGCCTGCTTTTTCTGAATTAAATATTAGCCATTGCAGGTAGCCCTCAACTTTCAACAGTTCATTTAGTGACCGTTCAAAGTTGCAATAACACTGAAAAAACCTGACTTTTTCACACTTACAACTGCTGTAGCATCCCCTTGGTCATGTAATCAAAATTCAGCCGCTTGGCAACTGATGGTATTTTTGATGGTTGCAGGTTCCCAAGGTCCCTTCCAGCCCTGTGATTCTATGATCTCAACTTCCTGCCTGACCTGTAAGAGTTTGCTGGCTGGCTGCTGATGCTTCTCCTCTATTTCCTGGATGAGATCGTCAAGAGAGCACAGTCCAGCCAAACCATTGTCCCTTCTTGCCAGAATCTCCTTCTCCGTCTCTTCCATTCTGGCCAGAAGAAGCTTCTCCTGTCTTTTTAACCACCGTTGTAGTTCTCTGAATTCAGCCACTGCGTTTTTTTTCTCTTTTTTGATTTGGTCCTAGAACAAAAAGACAGAAAAAGCAAAAGGCATGTTTTTATTTTATTTTAATTATTTCACTTAATTATTTTTATTGTTATAATAATTAAACAGATTCCCTGAAGAGTCCAGAAACAAGATGGGAGAATTTCCTAGTCTACGGAGAAAAAAAAATCCTTTTTGACATCAACAAACATAGGGGGAAAGGTTTCTAAAAACCGAAAAAAGGTCCAGTTTAAATGATCTCTCATGAACATTTTCTTTGGGAGATCAGGAATTCCACAAAAGTAGACAGAAAAATGTTTTGATTTTTGCATTCTATCGATGCATTATTTTCTTTTTCAAATGTTTTTTGTTTCTTTTTCCTATGATGTTTTATTATTTATTCGATTTCACATTTTTTTCAGTAAGATGAAATATGGTTTGCATTAATTTATTATGCAAACCAAACCCATTATATAAAATATGGCTCATAGGTGTCCTTAACACAACTGTGACTCATTCAGCCAATGTTGACATCCCAAAGATACAGTCCCCAGGTTAAGAACACATTCTGTGCCCAAACACTGTCTTTAACTGGAATTTCATTTCAGTCAGAACTTCTACTTACAAACAGGCTGCCTATTATTAAAGAAGGCGGGTGATGTTCTCCTTCCTATTAGCTCAGAAGCTCCTCACAGTTGGATCAATACTTACAAGCATCTCCTGAACTCTTTGCTCTGTTTCGGTTTTGTATGCAGCTATTTTTTCTTTCTCTTCCTTCTGAGCCTTCAGGCAATCCCCAACCTTGAGCTGAAGAGAAAATACAAGATTTGAGTTTCTTTTCCGTAAAGAATTACATCTGAGGGAAGACCTAATTAGAAGATATATGCAACCATCATAAATACATGGCAGTTGCCAAGTTTCCAAATTTCGAACAGTCACTTTGAACAGTCACTAAATGAATGGTTCTAAGTCGAGGAATACTTGTAATGGTGACTTCTGGTGAGAAGATGGACAGCTGAGAACACACCCAGGGAAGGATCCCTGAAGCATTTTTCCCTGGACTGTAGCTTTTTCAACTACCAACAGAAGAAACCGGCATTCCTTTAGTATAAATTACCCCTATGGGTTAGGGAAAGTCCTAGAATTATCCCATAAGATCCTCTGATACAGCAAAGGTCTGCAAGTAGTTTCAGGAGCTTTGCTTCGAAACAGTTTATGTGCCCAAAACTGGGGCAGCTCTGCAATCAGTTTGTTGTTGAAGAAGCAGCTATTTTGGAATTTATTTTTCAAACAGTGTTGTGCCTTTCATTTCGTAATCATTTTTAAGGACTTTTAATCTTTACTAAGCTAAAAGAGGTTCTCTTTAGTCGTAGCCTATTATTCCTTTTTGAAGATCTGCACCATTTTGACGGTTTCTTCATTGTTAAACAACAAGGAAGAAGACTGCAGAAGGCAAGCTAAAATAAGGAAATGTGGAATCTCTATTTTTTTAAAAGTTGATGGAGAAATATTTAAGGATAGAAAGTTGTGGTTTTAGTTTATTATTTTTAGTAATTTGTAGCTTGCTGTGGGTGACTAAAACTTCCTGATTTTTATATTTCTGACTGGCCAGCAATTCTTAAAAAATGCTACTCTTTGACAAAAGAGGACGTTAAGAAGATGGTGGAGCAAAGTATTAGAGATGTATTTGAAAAATCTTTACATAAAATCCATCAGTTCATAGATCAACTATGCTCCAAAGATGTTTTAAAAAGCTTCTCAAACTTCATCAGAGATATAAATATGTGTAGAAAGTTACCAAACCACCGAAGCAATTGCACAAGTAGCTGACAATGCAGAGAAGTCAACTGCAATTTTGGAATAGAAACCTGACACCAATTTTTATTATGATAGCTTAAATATAAACCTCCCAACACAATTAAAAGAAGGGCTCCAAGAAAATCTGCAACTTTTAAAAGAACAAGTTTGGGACTTTTTTTCTCATGGAAATTAACAAGGTTGAGAAATCCTTGAGAAAAAGAGAAGCTCAGTTTGATATTTGTAACTGAAAGAAAGTCTTAATCTAAAATTTGAAAACATATTTTTTTCCTTTATATATAATGCTCAAGTAATTTATAAAGTTTGTAAAATATTATTAAAAATGAATTTGAAAGTATATTAAAAGCAAGATAGAGAAAAAGATCTATTAGCTTAAAGAAACTTTAGAGTTTTTTTGTGAAAAAATTTTTATTTTCAATTTTACATTACTTTCATAAAAAATACTTCAGATAAAGAGTAAAATAAATTTATACACACAACTTTCGGTATTGCTCACCCATTTCCCCCCAAACCGCATCCACCCTCTAACCTCTTCTCTCACTTCCCTCTTTCCCTCTTCTTCCTCACTCTTCCCCTCTCCTCCTTCTCCTCAACCTTCCTACTTACTTCTCCCCTTCCTCCTATCTTCTCACTCTGGATGCAGTCCAGGGGAAATGCCCGAGCAATTCCTCTCTCCAAATTAAAACATCAATATTATATACAATAAAACTATTTCTACTTATCTGAACTATTTAACCTCTAACGCAGTGATTCTCAACCTTTCTAATGCCGTGACCCCATAATACAGTTCCCCATGTTGTGGTGACCCCCAAGTGGGTGTGTGGCCACCAATAAGAGGGAGTAGAACAGCTAGGGAAAGGGGAAAAAAATGGCGGACAGCATGGTTTGGTGACCCCCGTGAAATGGTCATTCGACCCCAAATGGGGTCCTGACCCACAGGTTGAGAACCACTGCTCTAACCCATCCTCCCGCCCCCCTCCCCCCTCCCTCTTCCAATATTGACCCACCAATAATCTTGCTGCTGTTATTAAATTCAACATTAAAATAGTTTCTTTAGCATCAAAATCCACAAAAATACCCAAAAGAAATAACTGGGGAGTAAACTTAATCTTCCTTTTAAAAACCTTTTGAATGTTCCACCAAATCATAATCCAAAAAGCTTTAATATTTTTATAAGTCCACCAAACATGAAAATAGGTTGCATCCAAGCAACCACATCTCCAACATTTAGGTTGCAGGTTCGGGTACATACAAGACAACTTTTTAGGATCTAGATGCCATCTATAAAACATTTTATAAAAATTTTCCCTCAAATTTTGAGCCTGCGTAAATTTAACATTTCTAATCCAAATTACCTCCCATAAATAAGAAACTTTAGAGTTTTAAAAAAGGATGTTTACAAGAAGGAAAAAAATATTCTATGAGGGTAACTTGCAGGGAATGATCTAAATTTAATGAGTTAATTGGAGTTAGTTGGAATTGTATTGGTCTGAAAGTGAACTTTAAAGTACACAGGTTAAGACAGAATTTTTTAAAAGATGCATTAGAAAGCTTTGATTTTAGAAACATTTTAAATAAATGTTTAGCGCTTTAAAATAGCTGAAAAAGTATTTTTCCCTTTAAACAATCTGAAAGAATACAGTGAATTTTTTAAATATAAATAGTGATAGTTAATAAAGATTATTAAGTAGAAATAGAAATACATATTATTTCCACAGCAAGGAAGATAAAACAGAAATGATTAAATTGATTGTTTTATTCAAAGAGGCAGATATACATAATTATGCTTTTTATTTGGGTATCACTTCTGGATTTTGTGCTTGTGATGAAAAAAAATGAATGACCTTGGTTTTGCTGATCAGATAAATTTGTTGTTATAGAAATAGCTAGTTATATACTAATGTGGAAAAGTAAAAAGTTGAGGCTCAAATGTTGTTATCTTGTTCTGTGCTAAAAAGACAGAAGTCAACGTTTTTTTTTCTTTCTTCCCTTGTATCTCACATTTTCTTTCCTCCTGTCTTTTTCCTTCCATTAATTTCCTATTTTTATTTTATTGTTTTATCAGTGTGAATGGACCTCATTCTGCTTATGATTTTATTACGTTTAAGCTTGATATTGGTAGTTATTTTGTAGCTATTTTATATAAAATTTTATATGCAAGCAGTTTTATAGATAGAAGTAAGTGTTTTATGTATACTGAAAAAGTAAATGTTTCATGCTAAATATACAGGAGATTGCTTACACGAAAGGAACAAGGTAAGGTTCAATGGTCCAAGAAATAGGGAGGGGGGGGGAGGTGAGCAAGCCTGGATTCATGTATATGAGCCATCACCTTGGAATTTGTTTTCCTGTGCATCGTTGCTCCTGGTACAGAGACTTGACTCTCTTTCTTCTGAAAAAGGCATAAAAAGTGGAAAAAGTCTCTTCTGGGTGTGCCTTTGTCCCTATAAGCCAGTGTTTCTCAACCTTGACAATTTTAAGGCATGTGCCTTGCTGGCTGTGGACTTCTGGGAGTTGAAGTCCACATGCCTTAAAATTGTCAAGGTTGAGAAACACTGCGAGTCTAAGCAGCCACAAAGAGGGAGAAGGTTACCCAACTCTGTCTCGGCCAAAATAAAGTTATTTTCTTTGCTGAAACCTCAGCTCAGGAGTTTCTTTTGGCTCTTTGGAATTTCTGAGTAGCGCAGGGAAATTTGTGAGGTTAAGTGGAAAACCTTATAAATGTATAAAATGCAAAGTCATGAGGTAAAAGAATACTTGTAATGGCAGGTAAGTGAGTTGCCTGAGTCTCCCAGTTGCAGTCATCTGAGAAGCATCAGATTAGCCACTGAGAAACAAAAGTTTGGGCAGGAATATTTTTGGGTATTTCAAGACTTTGAAGGACTCTATGATGATCTTGCTCTATAGCAAACGTAGAAAAATGTCATTTGAAAGAAAATTTACTAGTGTTTCCTTCCCCATCTGATCTTTAAACTTCAGCCAGTTAATCCTGTTGTTGATATTTAGATTAGATCTTTCTTATCTCTCCTTAGAAAAAGTGAGCTGGCAAAAGAGTTCTATTTCTCCACTGCTAAGCATAACAGTTAAGTGACGTTTTGTCCCATTTTACAACCGTTCTTGCCACAGTTGTTAAGTGAAACACTGCAGTTGTTAAGTTAATCACACAGCTGTTAAGTGAATCTGGCTTCCCCATCGACTTTGCTCATCAGACGGTCTCAAAAGGTGATCACAGGACCCTGGGACACAGCAACATGACAGTTGTCAAGGATCTGAATTTTGATCAGTGAAGCAGGGATGCTGCAGCGACCATAAGTACGGAAACTGATCATAATAACTTTTTTCAGTGGTGTTGTAACATTGAACCATCACTAAATGAATGCTGGTAAGCTGAGGACTACTTGTTAACCTGTTTTTTAAAAATTGCAGGAACAGAGGCCAGGGGTGGGATAAAGCAGCAGGAAGCAAGTAAACTGCTCCAAATGTAACTAGTGCTGGCACTGGATGGCTCTCCTTAAGGATTCCTCCTGGCTGATTCCTACCTGGTACTCCTGGAAAGCCTCCTCCGCAGGGATTACCCAGTGGTCCCTGTGCTTTTTGGATCGGTTGCAGACCACGCAGATGAGGGTCTCGTGGTGCTTACAAAAGAGCTTGAGGGGCTCCCGGTGCTTAAGGCAGACGCTCCCTCCTTCCTCGCCCCAAGGATCTTCGCATCTCCTGGCCATTTCCACCAGCCGCGCCAGCTGCCTGTTGGGGAGGAGGTTGCGGGGCCCGAAGGTCTGTCTGCACTGGGGGCAGGAAGCCTCCGATTCCGACGTCCCGCAACTGCGGGTCAGGCAGCCCCGGCAGAAGTTGTGGCCGCACTCCGGGATGAGCACGGGGTCCTGGAAATAGTCCAGGCAGATGGAGCAGGTGGCTTCTTCCAGCAAATACTGCAAGGGAGCTTCGGCCGCCATCGCTGCCTCCTCCGCCGAGACAAGGAAAGAGAAAGT